GTTTATATTATGCCAACAGTTTGTAATCTTCACTGTTTGACAGTCCATTTCTGTCAGTACTACTGAATGGATATAATTATTCCTCTGCCATTTCTTTCAGTTGAAGAGAAATACAAAAAAACAACAACCAACAGCAACAAAACCTAGGAGGAGATAAACATAGATGTGTCTCTTCTGATACTTCTATACAACTGGAAATAGCCTGATATGGCATGGGATATTATGATGCCAGAGACTTTCTAGACAATATTTTGTATTACTTTATCCATAATTGTATATATAATGGAAGCTTTCTTTTTCTCTGTCTCATCTGCCTTTTGTTTTGATCTGTTTATGTTCATTGTGTAGTTTTAGATAATTCTCCACTGCTACAAATCCAGAAAACAGATTGTTAATTGGTAATAAAAAATAAATATGCATACAATGCCAGCTACTTGGTTATATTCAGTGTATGCTGTTCCTTCCTACATCTTACATCCTGCTACAATATGTTGGACTGATTCCTGAGGCCTCTCTGTATAGGCTGCAGAGAGGAGGTGGCCATAGTAATTCCACTCTTGAACTTGTAACCATATCTAGTCTGTGTGATTAGAAGGTTCAATCCTGTGCAGAACAGCAAGACTGTGCATCAGCTTAGTATATGCCACATATGATTGTGAGCTGCTTTGATGACTTCCAGTGTTATGTTCCATGGTGCCGTTGAGTTCTTGAGAAAATCCTCAGTGTTTTGTTGACTTTGTAAAGCACCAGAAATTCACAAATCCACAGATGCGTGTGACATTGAGTCATAGCCTTTTCTTGGAAAGAAGGTATTTAGCTTCTTGGTTTCTGCTTCTCTAGTCTATCTCCCTGGTCTGGTCGCTAGTGTTTTGAGCCTTTGTTTAGCAATGTCTAGGGCTTCAAATACAGTCAGGCCCTTGTATTTATAAATGAGTCTTATCGCTAATCTTTACATCCTTGAACTCCTAATTTTCACACCCTTCTGTAATTCCACCAGCTGAGTAATCTCCCACCAAGTTCCCATGATCTTAGCCTCATGTTCCAGGGAGAGTATATGTTACTGTTCTTTTTGTAGGATCTTTAGGACTACAGTGGGTGTATTGTATACCAGTTCATTGCTTTTAGTTATGATAGTAAGGATTGCTCTGAGGCTTTGTTGGTATATTTCAGCATACTATCTGATGGTACTTCTCCAACCGAGCCTACAGTAATCAGGGTTGACTGTAGCTAGTTAATCTATTATCTTTTGCTTCATATCTGCAACTGTACATGGAGAGGGTGCTAATGGATGCTAGTGGCAGACGAACACAATACAGAAGCCTGATGATGGCAGATGAGATTCTGCCGAAACGTTGCTACAACTTTAAAAGCACAACTATAATGACATGGGAAAATACCCGAACAAAGCTGAATACCATACACACGCACACACACACACACACACACACACACAAACGCGCGCGCACACACACACACACACACACACACAAGCTATATGCTTCACTGGCATTTCAAATGGTGGACTATGGGCTGTACTTCCCTTGGGATCTGACTGTATTCCCTGCACTGTTTGCAAGGTACTTTGAAAAGAGAAAATTGTCTCTCTACATTAGTTCCTGTCAAACTCCACAATGCATTTGGTAAGATAGATAAAGAGCTGCCATCTGTGGATTTAGTGACAATAACTTATGCCTTTAGAAAAAAATGAGTTAAGTAGAATTCCTCAAAGCTATAAAATACCATTAAAGGCTAATTAAATATCTAACAGCAATGAAGGAGCTGAAGTTTATATGGGTTTTCAAAGATGATATGTAGATGTTGTGAGGTGAAGGCCTATTCTTTAATTCCAGCCAAAAGATCTTCAAATCTAAGATGACTGATGACAATTTTTAATTTGTTTGACTTCCAGATGGACTATTTTATCATTTATGTGGACAGTGCAAGTACATAAATTTTACTTGCCAATTGTCGATTCTGATACCGATATGTGTTAATTGCGACTTAGGGCACATTGATTAAATTGTAATCCCTGAGTTAAGTAGGTGACCACATGATTTGACTTCATGTGTTATTTTCACTATGGCTAGGAAAGTTCTACCAGTTGCTTATGCCTTCTCTTCTCATGGGAAGATTTGATTTACAATAATAGAGCACCATATTTACCCTTGGGTCCAATAGAATAGCCAAAGAAAGTAAATCTTTGTTGATGGGGAAAAGTTGAGGCATGTGAATGTAATGTCATTTGGATGTCTGTATATTTCTCTTATCTTAAGGATTTCAGTTTATGCTCCTTTTTCATCAAATTTGATCAAGATTAAATATCGAACCTGGATTCTGATTTGACTGTATCAGAAAGGGAGAAGGGACAACAATGTACCAGTGAAAGATGAAGCAATCAAGCTTGAAGCTTACCAGAAAACAAACAGCTCACCCATTTGTCCTGGTAGATTACTTTTTTTAACACACTAAAGCCTGACATTTCCTGGGCAAGAAAGGCTATCCCTAAAGACTTGGAAAGCAAGAAGTATATTGAAGAGGCTTTACTTTACTGGGCATTTGTGGTTTCAAACACGTAACCGAATTATTTCTCTCTTATGTTCTTGTCTGCCTTTGGATAGTGCAATTTTAGACTTTTGCAGGGAGGGGAAAAGGAGGAAGAACTTGGAGACAAAACCGTGGACCCTAATAATTCCTGGAAGTTAGGGATTAGATCTTAATTAAACAATAATAAGAAAAGTACAAGATATACTTTCTAATAATATATTCGTAATCAGTAGATTCAAGATATATACCAGGTTGTATCTCACACACTACATATAACCTGAAGAATTTACAGTAATAAAATTAGATAATTATAGCTCATACACATGATTTAAAATAAAAATGATCAAAGATTCATGGCAGATATTGCAAAGCAGTGATAGCTAAAAGTAACGTCAGTATATAGAGGGAATACACTTGATTGGAGACAAATGTAAAAAGATTTACAGTTAGATGTTCTGTGATAATCTAGCTAGCTCTTCTTGGAAGCAGAATTATGGATAAAAAGACTTGTGCCTGATTCAACGAGCACTCTTAATGGTTTTGCCTGCACTAATATATATATATATCATTCTGCTGAGTTACAGGTGCATCCAAGAAAGAAGGGAAAAACATATATAACAGCAACAAAATTATAATTATTTATAACATTACAATAATACCATCAAAGGCCTTGATAAGTGTGCTGAAATAAAGAATGAATTGCCAGCTTGCTTTTTGAATGTATAGCTAAATTGGAATTTGAACAAAAGTATCCAAAGTATAAGGAGAGTATCCTATTCACAAATGGGAGAAATGTATGAAAGGTGGGACTTCTGTATTAACTTTCTCAATGCAGTTTCTTAGCCTTAGCTTCTCATTTAATAAGAGGGACTGCTTCAATCCACATAAAATGTGTAAGAGGCAAATGAAATTGAAATAAAAAGCAATTTGTTAAGTAACACTTATTGAAAGCTGCTGATGCTTCCACTTTTCTATAGCTTATCATCTACTGGCGAGGCCAGGAGTTGTGGGTGTTTCCAATATGTTAGATCCATAAAATAGCACCAATACAAGGGCCTGCTGAAAATTAGAACTGATCTTGATTGAAGGAATCCAAAGTAAACAGTGGGTGGCCCAAAAATGAGGATTACTATAATGAAACTTTGCAACCAGGGTATGCTAATTTTCAAATCATCAAAGTTCACCTTTCACTTACTGTGACAACTCTTCCACAGCAAAATGCATAAAACCTTGGATCATTTCTCCCTGTGCTGTCTTGGAGTCCTATTTTTAACCTGGTATTGTAGATTGTATATTAATCACTTCTGTCAAATTATTATGGATTGCTACCTTGATCATCCTCAATTCACGTTCACTCCCAGTATGTGAGTCTATTTAAGTCTCCAACAAATTTTGGAATAGGAGAAAATGAGACTTCACTCATCACTGTTCCTTCTTATTTTATAGGTTACCTAGCAGGTGAGGTAATGTGGGTGTAATAGTTGAGCTTATCTGAGCAGCAGAAGCAACGTTACATAAGATTGTTGAGCTTGTGTATGGGCTTTCTGTCAACATGACTGCTTTTAAACACAGTAGTTGTTGTCTAGGTTAAGAATAAAAATCCTGTAGTATTACCAGATCTATACACCTGGACTGTAGTAAGGCTGGGTAATACATTCAGTGTAATTGTTGTCTATTGTAATTGTTTTCAAATGATCACACCTTGTTTTTTCCTATAGGTTTTAGTGTTCTCTGCTGTTTTTGTCTGGGAGTGAGGCTTTTGAGGTATCAGCTGATTCTGCAATTAGAATGGAGGAATGCAATCACACATAGTGTGGTGGAGGTGGTGGGAATAGTTTAGTGCAGACACCAGTGCCTCCTGAGAAAGATAATGTGGCACTGAAAATTCTCTATTCTTTCTTCTAAAACCCATCATTTCTGCCTCAATTGTTTCTCTCTGCCTTTGTAACTGTCCTCGAGGACTCCTGGACCATTTTGTCATCCTGTGTGTCTCTGCTGAGGAGCTTCTTTCAACATTTACAACATGTCCAATACATTTTTACCAGTGAACAGGGAGGATCAGAAGGAATGGGGGAATGTATCTACAATGGTACTGGCATCTAGAATACCATACCATATATAATGTTTATTTAAATATTATATATAATACAATAATAAACAAAAACATATGTATCTCTCAGGTCCTAGAGAAGGACCTGATTGGTAGATAAAAATGCCAAATTGGTTCAAACCTCTGGCTGTTTGACTGATTATAATAGTTTATTACATTGGATCAGCCCAGTGTTTCACCATATATCACATTCTTCCCTGTAGCCCATAAAAAGAACACATTTACCATATATTTTAGAGACAGTAGGAAGCTAGAAATCTGTTGGTGAGTAATTTTGGCCTTTAGTTTGCCAGGGCAGACTTCTTCATGTAATATAAGTCCTTTTCTTTTGTCTTTTTAATTTTAGAATCAACCTTGTCCTATGTTAGGCAGCTGGAAGCAAGAGTAAGACAGCTGGAGGAGGAAAATCGCATGCTGCCCCAGGTGGGTGATTTCTGTTGCTAGGCATACTAGTTTGTAGTTGAGGTCTGGAGATAGAAGATTAAGACTGATTTATGTCAGGAAATGGTTCACCGTGCTGTAGAGGAGATTGTGTGTGTCTGAATGTTTTTTATACCTATAGATGGGAAGTTGGAGTGTTACTGTATTTCCTGTCAGTGTCAGCATCCTAAGTGTTGCCTCGATTAAGGGGCTCAAATTCTTCATGGAGTAAGCAATTAGTCAGATAAAGAGCTATGGACAAAACTATGGAGCTGTAATGGAATAAGTCATGATGCAGAGGCAGTAACTAGGACATTTCAGTCAGAGGCACCCCGTGATTTGTGGATTCGTTATCTGCCCTCTGGAACTATGAAATACCTATATTTCATAGCCACTGAGGAAAAGAAATTGATCAATTAGGGAGATAGGTCTGCTTAGTTGTAAAGTGATTATGAAGGTTATTTGATTAGGCAAATTGCCCTAGAACATATTTCTGTTATGCGCATTTTTGTATATATGTAGTTGAAATTCTACCATGCCATTCTAGCTTATGCAATGAAAAGTTGTATCTGGAGGATATAATAGTCAGGTATTTTCTGTGTGACAGTTTTCAACCTTGCCATTTCAGTTACCATCCAGATCCTTGAGAAATAATTAAGAAAAGAAACCATCATAAAGATAAGAATATTATGAGGCGCAATATTCTTCCACTCTCTAGATTTTCTACTTTGGATACTGCTTTCCCTCAAATATGCCTGTACAGCTATCAAGAAAACGCATTCATAGCTCAAGAAGTATAAATTCTGTCACCTCTGACCTTAAGAAAGAAAGGCAGCTATGATGATTCAGTGATTATAGTATTCTGCTCAGAGTTCTCTTTGATCTTGCCTTCCTAAGAGTGAAGAAAGAGCAGGAGGAAACTCTGTCTCTCTTTGTATGTATGGACAACAATTTCTTGTGGATGTGTTTACTGAACACTAATAGCTGTTGTTGGTCTCTGATTCACTTGAGGCAGGGAGTAAAAACTATATGGGTGAGTTAAGCAATTAAAACTCTTAAATAATGGCTAAGCATTAAAGGGGAACATTCTGCATGTGCACTCAGCAGGAATTTTTTAAAGAGGCAGTGCATATTAGGACGTCATGTGAATATATGACATCATGGAATGAACTACGGCTAGACTGAATCTCAGTTTTCAAGAAGGATTTATATATTTCCCTTATCATTATCAGAACCACTGCTATGGATAATAGCAAATTAGTATATTAAGTGGGTTTCCTTTTTTCAGATTGTGACGAAGTAAGAACTGTTCAAATGCAAATGTCCTTAGTTTGTCTGATTTTGTCTTGTTTTTACATAGAAATATATGCATTGTAGAAAATGGAAATGGTTGCAATAGACTAAAGTGTCTTATTAGGGCAATCGTGTGCTTTACCCTTTTCCATTTAATGTCTCTTTAATGAGCATATTAGCATTTGTAGTTAGGGTAGTTAAGATTAAACTCTTTTTCACACTTCATTTTTTCAAGTGTTGATACTTTATTAGGAAAATCTTGAGGTTGAAACCAGTTTTGCATAATAAATATATGATTAAAGAAATCTGAAGTTACAAGCTTGCATGAATTCATCAGTCATTTTTCCCTAGCTACATTCTGTGGAATATTTAAATGCTTGAGAAGTTATTTCAAAGTATCCAGTTAATTGGCAGCCCTGTTTTAGAAGTTCAAATACAGGTCTTATGCATATTTAATTACAGTATTATTTTTTGCAAAGTTTTTGGTTATATTTATTTTTTTAATGTCTGGAGAAGGGATTAGTTGGGAACAGAAATGGAAGAAAACAAAATGAAACTTTTAGGATAGACTTGACATTTGTAAAGTTATCAGTTGTGGGGACTTGCTGGTATGGAAGAAGTCCATAATATCTTCCTTAGTTTGACAACAACTTTGTAACACTTTTTTTGTCTAGCATCTACTGAATTCTTAGCCAACAAGATCAGTGACAGAGAATATTGGCAATTGAAATTCAAAGCACCTGCAGTATATCAGTTAGGGGAAGGAATGTCTCCATTATTTAAGGAAAATACTGTGTCTCAGAATAAGTAAGTCATACTTCAGAAGCAAAGTGTCTGCTCTGTGGACTATGGAACAAAAATGGTTAGATGCCCATTCCAACTTACTTCACAGCAGATTGGGAATCCTTGGGAAAAAATGGAAGAGCACTGATATTTTTGTTGCATAGAATGTGCTGAACTTCATTTTCCATATGCTGACAGGTGATTTTTAGATTCAATCTACACATTGCTTGATCAGAAAATTTGTGGTTGCCTTGTGAATTTGGGGGGAAAAGGTGTTCCTGTCCCTGCCTCTTATCAGCCATACACATATTTTAGAAATTTTCAATGGGGATTGATTTCCCAGGCCAATACCTATGAATTCCAAGGTACTTCAGAATTAGGAATACTGATCTGAATTGTCATAGTTAAGTCAAAGCTTTTTACAAAGATACAGCAAGAAATGTAAAATGTTTTTTGACCATCCAGTGGTATACTTTGCTACATACGGACACGATGGCTGTTCATGTGCTGTATATCATATATAGGTACCAAGTTGCATGATAAGCTTCCGAGTTTGTAGGGGAATTTATTTTGCTTCTAGTCAATGTTAGTTTCATATATATGCTATCCTTTTTGTCCAGTTTCTTCTTCAGTATATTATTAAAACAAAAAATATATATTTATCTTATATGCAACTTTCCCTAATGTATATGTCTGTTTTCCCTCTTTATATTTATATTAATATGGAAGTTTCCCCAACCCTGTATATTCCCCAGTCCCATTTGTATATGTGATTGTCTGGTTTTGTTTTTGTGTGTGTGCATGCATGTGTGCTAAGAATCACTGAAAGATTTCAAGATGTGTGCATTCTAAAGTGTTATTCTACATATTATATCATTCAGAGAAATTGCAAGTTAATTGAATTAAAACGTGATCTACATATTTTCATCGTACCTTATACCATCTGTGGCATGTTCTGAATGTATTTACTGCAATAATTGGCAAGGTTGTAACTTAATCAATACTTAGGCTTCCAGTTTGTACAAGACAGGTTATTATCTACGTTTATTTTGAATCAGTGGCCATAGATGAAAGATTAGAATCAATAGGTTCTTGCAAAGATTTAGGTCAGGCTGCTACATCCTTCCTCCATAAGTTATAACAAAATGAATTAACGGATGCACAAAGGCACAGATATGATCATTTTATGACACTGCACAAGACTTTGTGAATGTATTATACTCATGATGTCTTGGAAACAGTACAAATAGGAGGCTAATATGAATTTAGATGGTAAACGAATGGTTCCTTAAGAATCATTAGTATTTTGGTCCTGATATCTGCCTTCTGTTTTGGAATTAAAAAAAAACCCTCCATCGCAATTTATCTTTCATTTCAGTTCCATATTTGTGATTAATGCATGCATTAAAAGCTTTTAATAATATCTGAGATGTGTATATTAAAAATGAATCTACAACATATTGCACCTCTGGTCAAAAAGCTTCTGACATGCTTGGCTGAGCTGATGTGAGACGACACGTAGTGAATCATTCCTGAACAATCTATCTGCCCAGGGAAGAAAGCTGTCAAGATATTTGCCATTTAGTTTCTCTGAAGGGGAGGCAGAGTTTGTCATTATATCTTGAAATTAAAACCTCACTCGAAGCATAGAAAAGTAGCATTCTGTGATAAACCTGCGGAGGTCATAGAATAGAAGCCCCAGAGATAGAGGAACAGCACAGATTGGCACTAAGCACAAGAAATGTGCCTGCCAGTTTTCATTTTTCACCCAGCATGTTGAACCATGACACACTTAATGTAGGGGGAGGGAGTTGTATTATTGGGGCACATAGAAGAAATTGCAAGTGAAACCATATTTAAAAAAATAGTTGGAAAAGATTTCATTATGTCCCCATTTGACTTTTCTCACTGAATCATTTTGTGTTTTTTAAATCTTCCCACTCATTACAATTTTTTTCTACATGAATACATGTAGTCCTCAACTTACGACCACAATTGAGCCCAAAATTTCTGTTGTTAAGTGAGTTTTGACCTATTTTATGACTTTTCTTGCCACAGTTGTTTTCTTGCCATAGTTGTTAAATGAATCACTGCAGTTGATAAGTTAGTAGCCTGGTTGTTAAGTAAATCTGGCTTCCTCATTGTCTTTACTTGTCAGAAGGTCATAAATTTGAACCAGTTGCTAAACATCTGAATTTTGATTGCATGATCATGGGGAGGCTGCAAAGGTCCTAACTATGAAAAACGATCCTAAATCACATTTTTTCAGTGCCATTATAACTTTGGACGGTCACTAAGTAAACTGTTGTAAATCAAGGACTACCTGTACTAGAAATAATCCTAAAACTTGTCACCCTTTAATAGAACTATGAACAGGAAAATTATTGCCAGGGCCACAGTATCTGAAGAAAATAAAAGGATTCCCTTTGTTGCCAGAAATATATAAAAATACTGTATATTCAAGGGCTTGAGAAATTAATTCCTCAACTTCCATGGCAACACATCAGAGTAAGTTAAAGAAGAGGAATTGACACAATGTGCTTGTGTAGAAGTTAGGCAATGAATCAAAAGGAGGGAAATAATATTTTCACTATTTGTACCAGAGAGGATAGAAATACATTTTATCATTACTTAGGCTGAGAATTTTATGTTCAACCTCTTTTTTTGAAATGGTTTTGGCATAAAAACTAGTTTCCTGATGGGTCCTACAGAACAATAACAAGAACCCCAAAGACTGACTTTTATTGATACATAGCAAATCTTTGAGGAATAATGAAATTGTCTTCAGGCACAATGAAAAGGGAACATATTCTGATCTTTATTGTATCTTCTGTCAGTAATAAAAGAGCTACTTTCTCTGGTTTCTTAATGTAAGAATGGTCAGCTAGGGAGATTCATTTTCAAAGTATTCAAGTGAGCTAGCTTAG